TTTGAGTTCGGATAGGGGAGAGTCCCGAACTGCCATGAGGCGGGCCAGTTCGGGTCACTACTTTGTGTGACTCGGGGCCTAAGGGAGAGTCTGGGCTCCTCGTAGGGAGTTTGAGCTCTTAGTAGGGAGGTCGGGCTCCTCATAGGGAGTTCGGGCTCCTCGAAGGGAGTTCGGACTCGTCGAAGGGAGTTCGGACTGCTGGTTTCTTCCCTTTGGTGCTTGCGCCCTGGGTACACTACTTTAAGTGCTGAGCTATTTGTTTTTGCCACATGGAGTGATTGCGAGGTCGGGCCAAATCTTCCTTCATCAATTTTTAAATTCATAAATTAATTCTTCAAATGTATTTAATTTTCAAATAGAATCTGAGCAGGCATAGAAGAGAAGCGAGTGAGGTCTTTTCATGTTTCTCACATAGATTGTGTTGGAGGCTCTGTTCACATCTGCGCCTCAAAAGGAGGTGCCCCGTAACGTTCAACAGCACATTTTCCGTCGTGTATTAGGAACATCTCTCGAATCTCGATCATAGTACCAAAATCGATAATATCATTATGGAGAGATGTTTTTAATAGACGGCGGGATATGCTGTGGGACGTTATGGGGCGCAGATCTGAATTCAATAATACCACCTCACGTCACCAATCAAGAATATACAGACCCCATGTGATTGGCTGACATGGGGCGTTATTGCGTTGTGGGTGGGTTGCCTGGATCCTATTGCGTTGTTGAGGGGGGACTGGAGAGACTACTGAGGATCAGGAATCACGACGCTTGGTATAATATTAATATATAGGGTAAAATACAAAAACCTCCCTTTAAACTTTTGGCAATCATAAAAATCTCTTTTATAGTTTTATTTTAGAAAAAACCTCCCCTAAATGTTTAAAGAATTTGACAAAAACCTCCCTTCCCTCAATGACCAAGACAAAAAACGTTAAATCCATTAATCATTTTTTTAAATACCTATTTTACCCCTATTAGCATGCTATCCCCTTTTCCTCTCCTGTCGATCTCTTTCTTTTTCAACTGGCCATACCTCCGAAACTCCATTTGTAGTCCTCCACTTTCAACATCCAAGCTTCAGGTCTGAACACAACATCTAGATTTCTACAGCCTTCCATCCCTTTACAGAGGCAAATGCTGAGGACTCTGGTGCTGGGGCAAAGAAGTATGTGCATGTGCGTAAATAGCAGAGAAATGGTTGGAAAATCCAAACAGTGCAAGGTTTGAGGAAGGAATTCAGTTACTTCAAAATACTCAAGGATCTAAAGAAGGAATTTTGCTGCAATGGTACTATTGTCCCAGACCCAAAGCTAGGCCAAGTTAATCAACTTCAAGGTGATCAATAGAAAAATGTATTGACATTCCTCGTTCGGGCCGGAATTGTAAAGAAGGAACATATCAAGATTCATGGTTTTTGAGCAGCAACAGACTAGTCCCTGCATTACCATACTTTATGCATGTCAGCAGAGAACTCCACTGTTCGAAGAGGAGGGACACAACATTGATTTCACCAATCCAAACCCATTATTTATCTCTCACATTTCTTCTCCTCCCTCATCGTTGTCCCTACACAGCATCGAACTGCCTCCACACAACCTAAATCTCCACCACAAATATAACACCACCATTGGAGCCACGGTGGTCGTCATTCTCAACCAAGTGTCATCTAAAGAAGAAGATAGGCCATCAAGTTTACACTCAGATCGATGGTAGGGTTGTTCACGGATCGGGTTGGGTCGGTTTATTGGCGTTTTTCCAACCGACCCGACCTGGTCAATTTACCTAGAAATGAAACCGAAACCGATCCAGTACTAAGTAAAACCGACCTGGTCGGTTTGAATCGGTTTGGGTCAATTTTGTGAATGATTCTCTCGTTGTGAACAGTAAATGATGCAAGTCTAAGAAAGCAAAGGCTGGATGCCTGGAAATTAAAAATGATTTGATGGATTAAAACTGATATTTTATATATCAGAAATTTTATATATAATATCTATATTTTTGAAATAAACCTGAAATATATATATATATATATTCCACAAATATATATATTAAAATAGAAATATATATATATATATATATTGTAAAACTGAAATATATCAGATATATATATAATATATCTAAAATATATTATATATATAATATATATCTAAGTCGGTTCGGTTTCAATTTTCACACATCAAAACTGAAACCGAACCAAACCATCGGTTTATGTTTTTTTGTAACCCGAAACCGACCGGTGCTGAAGAAAAACCAGCCAAGTCCGATTAGATCGGACCAGGTTGGTCGGTTTGGGTCTTGTTATGAACAACCCTAATTGATGGTGAAGATCGTTGGTCAGATTCAAACGTCAAACAAAGATAGAAAAAGAGAAAAGTCATGTTATGTTCTATTCAGTTGTAATCTACCCTGGTTAACATGCAACCTCCGCTTTTCCAGTATAGCAGTGTATGGTCCCTCAAATCTCAATCAAAGATTCATTAGATTCCATGTTCTATTCAGTTGGAATACGACTGGATTAATTTCATGTTCTCATGGGTTAAAAGAGAGAGCTGGATTAATTTCATGCGTTGGAATACAACACCGAACCACCCCCACAGAGAGGTTTCGATGACAGTTCGGTGTGTTGTGCAGGGACGATGAGGAGGGAGGAGAAGAAAAGAGAGCTGAATAATGGATTTAGATTAGTGAAATGAATGTTGTGTTCCTATTCTTCAGATGGTGGAATTTAGGGGTAAAGAGGTCGACAGGAGAGGAAAGAGTATAATATGCCAACAAGGGTATTATTTCAGTAAAAAACTAAAAATAGATGCAACTAATTAGCAAGAGAGTAAATTAGGTATTTAGAAAAAAATATTCTTCCGTTTAGTATTTTCCGTATTAGACATTGATGGAAGGGAGGTTTTTATCAATTTTTTTAAAAATCTAGGGGAAGTTTTTGGGAAGGTTTTGTATTTTATCCTAATATATATACCCAACATCCAAATGTAAAGCTGACCAACTCAGACGCTTTAGCCCAGAAAAAAAAGGGGGCTAAAACAAGCTGTTGTCAGGAAAAAGTCGTTGGCATTTATCTGCCACAAATCCCATCTTCTATCCCGGCCGAGAGTGCTCATAATATAATATATATAAATGTCCTTTATTTATTTATTAATTACACCCCTCCAGGCTCCAGGCTCAGGCTCCTGCCTTCCCACAAGGTTGTTAAGGTAGTATTTGCAGGAGGGAGCCACCTCCACATCGCACGTCGTCCCACATTTGATCACAATTAGCGATGGGAAGCTGTGCGAGCAGACCCAAAGAGTTAAATGGCCCTGCAGATTCTCTGCCAACCCCACCCAGCCCTCACCCCACCCTCAACAATGTCCAACCCCAGACTGACTGTGCCCCAAAACCAAAAGTAAGTCCACTTGTAGTCATGCAATTCTCCCCAGTTGGAGCTCTCTGTTTGGCTCTACTTCATTTTTTTTGGGGTTCCCCTAGAGCAGATGACTGTGGTTGATGATGATAATGGTGATGAACATCATGTATGTCTTCTATTGGGCGTTGCCATCATCATCATCATCATCATCATCATCATCGCCATCTGTGCAGATGTGAGGAGTGAAGAGTGAAGGTCTTCCAATAATTAATCTCTTAGGAAAATACCCACATGGAATGACATCTAACATTCTTGTGTTTTACACAGCTGCAGGAGAACAATAATGACAATAATGGAGGTGAAATTCCAAAGGAGAAGGAGGAGCCATTGATTGATCTCTCGGAGCCAAGCCCAAAGGCAACAAATTCGGATGCAGATGCCACTCCTGAACCCAAGCCTGATCATGATCAGGTGATGAAGTATGGGGAGCTATCAGAGTCGAATCCTCTGATTGGCACTGCCAATCAAACTGAAGAGAATTCTGGGGCTGCTGGCAACCAAACGACAGACAAGGTGAAGAATGGGCCAGCAGGAGTGGTAGCAGATCCTGAGGAGAAAGGGAAACCAGATATTGACACAGACAAATCAGATAACGCAAGCCACAAGCAACCTTTAACATCTGAAATTTGATTGCATCTCATGGTAGGGCCAAGTGTAGCGCCAGAAATAACAAAAGTTGCAATCAGAATGAGATATTACTGTAAATTTCAATTCCCATATCAAGATACTGCCCGCATGTTAATGTTAAACCACTCATTTTTATATACATTATCATTGGTTTGGTGCTCTGTATTATTTGCATTCTGATTAAAGTTTAATCTGGTCTTCCCTCCTTAAAATTAACTTATTAATTTTTTTTCTTCTCAGGCTCCTTATATATTGTGAAATAAAGGGGGGCAGAAATTTTTGTGACTGAAGTATTTGAATTATATTTCGTCTGACCCTTTTTTTAGCAGAAACTTGATTTCTGACCATTAATTATAAAACAAGCATATCCTCAACAACACATATGCTCTTTATATCAATTCTGTGTATTGTCGTAGCACGTGGCATCAGTGGAATATGAAACTCTGCAGGTGATTCCACTTGTTCCCCAAATATAGTGGTCGATAGAGGAATGTGTTATACGCATTGTCTCTTCATTTTGGAAGTTTGTGGGAGAGTTCCAACATTCAAAATTAAGAAAAATGTTGTGGAACAAAAGGGTAACAGCTTAGAAGTGGAACAAACGAAAAGGTTTCTTCTCCTGTGGATAGCAAACTTATGCTCGAATTCTCAGATAACAAATTCAAAAAGGATTATAGCTAGGGAATTCAATAGTGTTGTGTTTTCTGCGACGATTTTACTCCTCCAATGAAGCCCTTTTATTGAACTCAACTCGTACCGGCCGGCAAAGTGCTTTTTGTTGAACTCAAGCTTGGGTTAAAATGTTTATTTTTATTACATTGGGTGCTTAATCATAGGGCTGAAAACGGATTAAATTAAACTGGATATCATTCCTTCACATTTGAATTTGAAATCAGGTATTGAGTCGTATAGATAAATTAGACTAAAAATGATTAAAATGTTCTATAGTAATAATAAAAATAAAATAAAAATGGCATTATTGTTATATTTTTATGAACAAAATTAATTGAAAAATAGTTATATGAAACTTGAGACTGAAATTTTTGTTTGAAATCCTATTACATAAAGCTCTTAAGCCCAAGAATTAAAACCCTTGAGCGGGGGTGCCGCATGAAGATTCCAGTGGGTGCTGAGATGGTTAAGAGATCAAACAGAGTGGACCCTACCTGCAGATAATTATGCAATGAAGAAGTGGAAACGATTGACCACCTCTTCTTCTCATATGCCGCGGTGAAACCAATTTGGTTTGCTCTTTCACCAGGGATGAGGATTGAAGCATTCCAAAATCATAGCTTAAATCACTGGCTGGATGTATGGTGGGTTCGTTTGGACAGAGCACATGAAGTCCTCCACTTGCCTGGGGTGATTATTATGTGGTTTATTTGGAAGCACCATGGTTTTCAAAACCGGACTGGACTGGAAAAACCAGGGACCGGTTTTATTTTACCCCAGAACTGTTATTTTGCCAAAAATCTGTTGATTTGGTCAGCAAAACGTTGATCCGGGTGTTCAAACCGTCCAACGGTCTTGGCCGTTTTTTATTTTTTTTTTAATTTTTTGTCAGAATGAACCGTTTATTCAGTTCAAATGGTCAGACCGTTCAACCCGAAAACTGGACCCCTGACCGGTTCATTGTCCAGTTCGGTTTTAAAAACCTTGGGAAGCACCAAAACAATATCAATTTCGACAGTGCAGCTGTGTTCCCATTGCATATTGCTGATATTGTGCACCACATTCACCTAAATAACACTATTATTCCCCCATATCAGTTGAACTTGAACTTGGAAGCAAATTTAATAAACATGGATGAATGGTGCATGGAATCCTTCAGCTGCTGCGATTGGAATTGTGATAACCAGTGAGAAATGAGTTTGGGCACTTCCTCTTTGGTCGAGCTCTCCAGGTTATGTGATCCTCTTCTTCTGATGAAGTTGAAGTTATGGCCTTATTACAAGGCTTTAAATGGCGAATAATCTTTCTGTGGACCATATTAATCGTTGGAACAACTGATGCTAACCTGGTGCTGGGCTCTATCTCCTCAGCATGTAATCTACCCTGGAGAATCCATAACTTAATCAATGGAGTACCGTGATCTTCTCTTTAGTTTCACCTTTTGCACTCTCTGATACTCCTCATAATTGTAATAGACTAGCACATGAGCTAGCTCCAGGACCTGGTCTTTAGTCCCGGACTTCTTAAAGTTACTGGTTTCTGAGGAGATGTACTCCCATTAATGGAAGTTTATTGCCTTAAGGGTTCAGAAAAAACTTAATACATATATAATGCATCCAATTTTTTTTTACCTTACAAGGAGTGCAAATAAATATACAAAATACAAAACTTTACACTATATATTTGATATTTCTACTCTTCCCAAACTGAGGCTTAATGATATGCTTTTGAACCTTTCCACTCAAATGAGGAAGCAAAAGCATGCAATTAACACTAGAGCGACACCATCAACTTGTGCTAAAGGGCATCCACCCATAGGGCAGTCTGGATCAAGTAGGTACAACGTTGTAAGCATGTTTTAATGACCACTTAAAAAATATTTTGACCCCTATTCCTTACAATACACCCAACCTATCGTTGAAAAATATTGAAAACCACCTTTAACAATTGTGTTGTGCCTACTAGATCTGGTGTCCCCTTCGGGCGACTTGAGCTTCGGCCACCATAATTTCACGTCTTTTCTTTTTACTGCAACCTTGAGAAATTTTATTGAAAAGGGGAACCAATACAAAAGGGGGTGTGAATTTCTTCTCTAGTTGAACAGTATAAAACCGTCACCTTATCACTTTTATGAATCCGATTTTCTTAAAATTTGCATCAGTCAGATCGCTCATTCGGTCAAAAGCTCATCAATCCTAGCAATTGAACCGTTGATCCGTTGGGTTACAGAAATGTGTTGAATCTCCCGAAGGCTACAACTCTGCATTTGATTGTCTAATTAGGGTGATCTCTCGATTTTATTTTAGGTGCTTTTCAGATCGCTTCCAATGTTCCAAATATGACTTGACTCAAAAAGAACAAAAAAAAGAGAGCGTTATCTAGAAAACATGAAATTATAAATTATAAACTTTCTAGCAAAAACGGTTTAACCTCCAGCTCAAGTGGTGAAAAAATGAAAATGGAGAAAACATGAAATAATATACAAATTTAGAAAAATAAAAAGCAAAAGTAGACAACCAGCGAAAATTTATTATCCAAAACAGGAGAAAATAGAAATACACTAGGGAAACGTTATCTCAGTATTCTCAAATCCATCTGCCGCAGAGGTGTGCTGCTGCTACTGACAATTACTAGTTTACTACCAACTCTATCATTGGAAAACAAACAGTGCGTACTGGGCTACTGGCAGAAAAGCAGTGACAAATTCTCCAAAAGGAAAACCAAAACTAGAAAGGTTCAACGTTGAGCCACATCAGAACTTGCGGTTAGACAAACCCATGTCCCGCAGCTCCCACAGAGGCTTACTCTCCTTTGCAATATCATTCTTGATTGCTCTTTGAATCCGTTTTACAACAAAGAAATACTGCACCAAAGCAAACACGTGAGCACAAAATGGGTATCATATGTATCCATGTAACTCTATCAACTGTCATTAACAATTGACGAGGTGGTTGAACTGTTGACACAACCACCGAGACAACTGACCAGATCCTGGTTTTGACAATTTTAACTGGGCCAACAAGCTACCTGTCCGGGTGAACCAACAGATCAGCCTCCCAGACAGCTTTGCAGGTTGACATCTGTGTTTTAAAACATTGATCTGGGGTAAGGTACAAAGCCCCCCAACAGGTTAGATAACTTTACCTGAAAAGCCAGGATCAAGGGGATAAAAAACTTTCCCCTATCATTTGGGTTGGGTCCTTCAATCAATTTCTTGTCCACCAAAATCGCCTTGCTACCATTAGAAACAACGTCTGTGATTGTTTTAACCAAGTTTGGTATCCAAGCAGTGCCATTTGGAAGAATCTGCATTCAAGATCATAGCTGCCGGAGTTCTCAATCTCAGAATTTCACAAGAACCGGGAAAATCAATAGTTAATAAAAAGATTTCTATGTATATGATATATATTCATCAACCTTTTCACCACTGTCATTTGTGCGGCATCTCCCACTGTTTTCAACCAAAACAACTGGAATGGAAGAATCCTGAGAACAAATAGAAGCAAGGAAAAAATATAAGGACGACATTCTGGAAACCAGTAATCAAGAATAAGAACCATTTTTGAAACAGTATCCAAGGAGCATAATTATCCAAATAGCAGCTTCATCATTAGTTGACTTTTATGGCCTACAGCTATCATACCCCGACACCTGTACAGTGTATAAGGGTTCTGTATCATGTTGGATACTTCAATTTTTTAGTATAAATTGTAAGTTTTGTCCTTTCCATTTACAGGAACATAGGCCTACATCTCATGCAGTTGAGTTGACCTTCGGATTGAAGAAAACATTTCACAATGCAGTGATTTTTTTCTTATCAATCTAAACCTAGAAGTTTCATAATAGAAATTGTGCATCCATTGCATCAGAATTCGGATGGCTTTATAATCCAAAATTCCAAATAATCATAACATACAAAAAAATAAAACAATTGTGAAGTCTGTAACCAGAAGATTGAAGTCAACCCTGTATTTTGAACACGACAATTATGTAAATAAAAAAAATTACATTTTAGGTTCATCATTGGCAGTTTTAGCGCCTACCTTTGGGTGCATAAGATTTAACTAGGGGTATTGCAACCAGCTCCAAAAGGGATAAAAATAATAATAAATAATACTAAAATAATCCTTGTAACTTTGTCAGTGTCATCTAATGCATTTAATTTATGTGGATAAGTAAAATAAACTTGACTGAATTTTTTTTGAAATCATGCCGCAGTATTTAACCGGGTAATTATTCTTGAGACACAACTAGAGCTATAAAATACAGAAAGCATATGCAAAGCTGGGTAGTAGCTACATATCTGACTCAGATTTGAACAGTCTAATGGAGCCTTAAATTACAGTGCCCTGGGAAGCTTAAGACAGGGATACTTGGCATGAAGATGGTAAATTGCAGTTCTCGTCTAAATTACCTGAAAAAATTTACACCCTAAGCTCATTTAGCAAAGCACCAGATTGCTGTGCAAGGAATTCACAGCATGGTAGATCACTAGGGGATGCCTTAATGCATACATATTCTAGAATGTTAATTTGACACTGTTTTTGTTTCTCTTCATAGTGCCATTACAAGGTTGAACTTTAGACCTATTGGACAAGGGAACTCCCCAAGGCCAGAACATTTGGCTCTTGTGCAAGGACTTAGAAATTAGAATGGACGTGTTGTTAGGACAGTGGGTTCCACTATTGTAGGAGATTGCTTTGTTGTAATTAAATAGATGTCGTTAGTGAAAGAGGAGCATCGGGCCCTCTTAAGAGCAAGTAAATCTTAACCCTATTAACCTGTCTATCCTTAACCACACCTACGTTGAGAGCAAGTCCTGAGATGGCATCAGACCACACAATCACCAAGGGCAAGGGCAAGTTTGCATGGTGTTCCTCTGCTGTTGCAGCAACGCAATTTGCAACATCAGCTTTTTCTGCAGAAACAGGATCAAATAATGCTTTGATATGCAATGCATACCTCTTATGTGGCACATTGAAAAACTAAGTAGAATGTTATTCTAACTTCTTTTACATTTCAATTGGAGCAATCTTCAAAAAGAAAAGATACAATACTTCAAACACCTAGACAGCACATGTCTCTACCTAACATGCTTCTGATAGAAAGTTAGAAGCCTTGCAGGATCAGTGGTATTGTGTTGCTTTTTTAAGGTGAAATGTAACCACAGATAAATACCACGATACCAAACACAATCCAATTTCCCATGCATGGCAGCACAACATATCACCAATCCAAATAAGACTTTCACAAGATAAGGCTTGTGTGGCTAGATCAATAATTGAGCTTTCCACTGGTAATAGAGTAGTAGGTTGCCTTTTCTACTTAAATTAAGACAAGTGTATAAAACAAAGTAGGGAATAACTCAAACAACTCCAAAAATCTAGAAACAAAGCTAGAAATTTTTTTTGTTTGAAAGGTAAGGTAAAAATTAATTAATAAGAGGAGAAAAAGAGACAACAGTTTCCTAGCCAGAGGAGGACTATCCAGGAATCAACTCAGATTACAGACTCCATAGGGACTGGGAGCTAAACAACTGAGACACATTCAGGTGCTGAAACTCAGAGTTTACAGACACCCAAGAAACCAGCTTACTAACCACACTGTACTGATTCATTGGACTTTTCATTTTCTTACAGAAAATTCTATTGGTTCTTTCAGACCAAATTGACCATATGACAGCTGCAGGAATGGTTTTTCAAACTAGATTTCCTTTTTTCTTCAAACCCAGGATCTTCCAGCAGCACAGCACGTCTTTGACAGAGCTCAACATGACCCAGCAGGCCCCAACAGCTTTAAGGAAGTGCTCCCACACCTTAGATGAGACTGGACAATGGATACTTAGGTGATCAGTGGATTCTGGCAGGAGGCCACAAAGACCACAAAACAAATCCAGAAGCTGCAACCCTCTCCTTTCTAAGTTGATTTTAGATAGGCACTTTGACCAGGAAATTAGACTTTGAAGGACTGATTGGATTCCAAATCTGCTTGCTAGGAAAATCAGTAGAACCTGAGCTGCTGAGTTTGGAAGCCAGGGATTTGACTGAGAAGCAGACATCTCCACTCCACTTCCATCTCCATTTATCCTCCAAATTGACATCTGTACCCTGCCCATGTAAAAGTTCCAGCAACTCCAAAGCCTCAACCATCTCCCAGTCAAACAAATTTCTCCTGAACTGAGGGATCCAGTTCACAGAATTATCAGAGGAGACATATGAATCAGCCACCGAGACATCTTGATTAGCAGGACACTGGAAGAAGAGAGGGAAGGCCTCAGCCAAGGGACTATCCAGAAACCAAAGGTCCTTCTAAAATCACAGTCTATCGCCTCTGCTCACCTTAAAACCCAAGCCTTCCGAGATAACAGGTAGGTTCTTCATAATTCCTTCCAAGATAGAGCATAGAGCAAGCCCCAATTAGGTAGAGGGTCAAAAGATCTCCAGCTGCCCCAATCCACACCATATTTAGCAGCTATTAGGTTTCTCCACCACAAATTTCTTTCAGAGCCAAACCTCCAGATCCATTTGCTGAGAAGAGCAGAAGTAAACACCTTTAATTTCCTTATTCTCAGACCACCTTCCTCCATGGGAAGGCAAACTTGCTCCCAGTTAACGAGATGGATTTTCTTTTCTCTGCAATGTCTCTAGCTTTTTAGCTATTTTAGCTGGGATCGTGAAAAGAGAGGAAATAAGTGGGGAGGTTACAGAGGTACTCTTTATAAGAGTCACTCCACCCCCAACTGAGTAGTATTTAGCCTTCCAAGAGGACATTTTTTTTCCATGCTCTCAATTACTGGATCCCAAATAGCAGAAGAGGAGCACTTTGCCCTACACCTGACATGCCTAGCACACTCCTCCAAATTAAACACTTGACCCACCAGGATGATCGGACTCTTATTCAGATTTACATTGAGACCTGACACCACTTCAAACCAACAAAGGATGCCGAGTAAAACCTCCAGTTGATCTGGAGAGGCATCTAAAAAGCAAAGAGTATTATCTGCAAATTGGAGAAGGTTTACTTTTTCCTACCCCGAAGAAATTGCAAAACCTTCCCAGCAGCCCTCTTTCTGAAAAGGGAAAGCACTTCAATGAGGTAAATGAAAAGCAGGGGGAAAGAGGATCTCCCTGCCTTAACCCTCTAGAACTTTCAAAGTAACCTGCAGATTGCCCATTTTTTAGGATAAATAGGAATTTCATTAAACTACAAAAGGAAGTACATCTCACATCAGATGGTTGTCAAGTTGACAAACCAAAAAAACTAGAGATCAAACTGAAAATGAATCATCATTACAAGGATGCAATTCAAGAGTACTCCAAAAATTCTCCAACAGATCAGAATTGTTCACTTGGTCAAAATCTGGAAGCCAAAGGACCCAGTCTGAAATCAGGTAGACCACTGCTGCTACTAGATATTCAATGCTTTTTGACTTGTCCTCAAACAGCATTCTGTTTCTCTCTTTCCATATGGACCACCATTCTGCAAATGAAATACAGCTCCTCAGTATTCTAGCTTTCTTTCTTCCTTTGAGTTTTGGCCATTTGGAAAAGATCTCTGCTGGAGACAAAGGTTGGAAGACACTCACTCCAAACAAGGAGAAGAACTTCCAAATGAAGTTTGCTACACTGCCTGAGAAGAACAAGTTAGGGACTGTTTCTTCCTCCAGGTTGCATAAGTAACAGCAGCTTGCTAACTGTAAACCCTAGACTTCAGGTGGCCAGTAGTAAGAATGCTGTCATGCACTACCAACCAAACAAAGGCTTCTACCCTTGGGGGTACTGGGTTGCCCCATACACCTTTTATCTGGTCTGACTCCATTACCTCTCTTGTTAATGCCTTGTAGAATGACTTCATAGAGAACCTTCCTTCTCTGAAATATTTCCACCATAAGCCATCTTCTGTGGACCTCGAGATGCCAGCACCTTCTAATTTTTCCAGTAGCAAGATACATTCTTCCACTTCTTGGTCAAGTAAAGCTCTTCTGAATTTAGGGTCCCAAATCAGCTGCTCCCCTCTCCACTCATAACACTGGTCTATTGTAGTTTGTTGTTGTTCTGTCAGCCTGTATAATCTTGGACAGACATCACAGAGTTTCCTACCCCGAGCCACTCATCTCAAAACCTAACTCTAAAGCTATCTCCCACTTTGAACTTTACCAAACTCCGAAACTCCTAATTAAAGCTCAAAATTCCTTTCCAAACACTTAGCCCAAAAGAACTTCTTACTTTCCTTGATTCCCACCCAAGCCTTACCACTCCATATTTCCCCACCACCACCCTCCTCCAGAAAGCCTCTCTCTCTCTCTCTCTCTCTCTCTCTCTCTCTATCTATCTATCTATCTATCTATCTCTATCTCTATCTCTCTTGCCCAAATCTCCACAACCTTTTCCCTAGCAGTTCTTTGTTAAAAAGCTTTACCCTTCTCAGCCCTAAACCTCCCTCCTCCTTTGGCCTACACTTAGCCCAAAAGAACTTACTTTCCTTGATTCGCACCCATGCCTTACCACTCCACATTTCCCCACCACCACCACCCTCCATAAAGCCTCCCTCTCTCTCTCTCTCTTGCCCAAATCTCCACAACCTTTTCTCTAGCAGTGCTTTGCTAAAAAACTTTACCCTTCTCAGCCCTAAACCTCCCTCCTCCTTTGGCCTACACACCTTTTCCCACTTGACTAAGTGAAACTTTTTGGACCCCCCGCCCCTCCCATAGGAAATCTCCGAGTCTTCTCAATTTTCATAGCCACCTCCTTGGGGATCTTCAGCAAAGAAAGGTAGTAAGTTGGTAGGCCAGAAAGAACACTCTTTATAAGAGTGATTCTCCCTCCCAAAGAGAGGTACTTGGCCTTCCATCTGTCCGGCCGCCTCTCCACTCTTTCTATTAGAGGCCTCCATATGTTGACTGCTGCTACCTTTGACCCCACCGGCAGCCCAAGATAGAGAAAAGGTAGCTCCCCTACCTTTGACCCCACTCCTATCAATAAACTTTTTTCAATACTTGGTTCACTCAAGCATCAACAAAAATTAGTGTATCATCAGCATATTGAAGGGTGAGACATACACGGACCTTCAATTCCAACTTTAAAGCCATCTATCCAGCCCCTCTGAATTCATTTCTTCATGATCAGATTTAGTGCTTCCATTACTAATACAAACAGCAAGAGGGAAATTGAATCCCCTTGTCTCAACTATTTAGATGCTTGGAAGAATTCAGACAAGACTCCATTAATTAGCAATGAGAAGGAAGTTTATGGAATACACCCATACATCCAACCCCATCAACCCTTGCATCTCTTCCAAGAATTTCCATTCTACATGATCATAAGCCTTCTCTATGTCTAACTTACATACCAAGCCTGGTCTTCCACTTATTCTTGAATCTATGCATTCACTAGCCACCAATACCCCCACCCAGAATTTGCCTTATACAGAGAACTTGGGAGAAGAGATGCAAACTTTAATCTAGTTCCTCCGTTTTTTACCAAAGTTCATTTTCTCAAGAACAAAAAAGATAAGGCACCTCCAATTTACATAATCATAGGCTTTTTCAATAAACTAGAAAAAAAATTTATACTTTGTGCTTTGAGTAAAACTGGAGACAATATAGTGGTTGGGTTATGAGATGTGAAGTGGAGGAAGATACAATACCACACTTGCTACTTCATTGCAAGTTTGCTTTCAAGATAAGGGCCGACTTTTTGCAGCTATAAAAATAAAAATTAAAAAAAAAAATAACATATTGATGCAACCTCAAGGTATACCCCAAAAAAAAAGAACCTCAAGGTCATTTTGATCTCTTAATGGACGGTAATGTGTTTTTCTGGCAGGAATAGAATTCTCTAGAACTTACTTTTATGTTCTAATGGTATTCAGGGAAGGATAGAAATGGAAGAGCTTTTGATAAGAAGAACTCAAGAACTCCCAAGCAAAATTCCTAATTGCAAAGATTGGAAGGACTCTGGTGCTTGGTGTTTTAAGAGCGCAAGGGGCATTTTGTGCTCGAGACATGAGGCACAAGGCAAGGCATGCGCCTTTTCAAAGCAAGGCACAAAAATGCTAAATTTTTCAAAAAATGCCAAAAATTTTAAAAATATAAAATGTAAAACATATTAATTAGTAATATTAAGTAAATATGTTGATCAAAAAATAATATTAATTAAAAATATTAAATACAAAAATATTTTAAACCATTTATTTTAAAATTTAAGATACAAAAACATAATATGTAAAACATATTTAAAATGAAAATTTAAAAATAAAGTCATGCATACCATGTTATGTTTGTCTATCTTAAATTTTAAAATAAATGTTTTAAAATATTTATGTATTTAATATTTTAAATACAAAGTCAAGCATAACATATAAAACATATTCAAGCATGTAAATTCTCAATCTCTTTATTCTTTTCCTAATTGCATTACTTCAAATAGCTAATGTAATGTTAAACATTATGCATTCCTAATTCTACGAACCTCCTTTGTACCAAGCCCCTTTGAGGCAAGCCCAAACAAGTCCATATCAAGGTCTTTAAATTCTTAATCCCTATAAAAAGCGCAAATTTTCAAAAGGCACGTGCCTAGGATGAAGCACAAGGTGCAACAAGCAAGCGCCTTTAGAAAGTGCTGCGCCTAGGGGCTGGACAAGGCACATACCTTAAAATGCGCCTCACCTATGCACCTAAGAACACCTCAGGCACACCATTTAAATTGGGAGACAAGCTTCCTTGAGTTGAGTTCAGATATTATTCCAACTAGAAACAAGCAAATAACTAGTATATTGTCTGGGATCATTGAAAGAACAATTACACCAGACAACTATAGTTACACAGAAAAGTTGCAACTTGCAAGTGAATGTGAATCATTAAACAAAACAACTGAAAGGTACAAGAACTAGAAGGTGCTTTAGGAGGTTCATTCATATTTATTAATTACAAACATTACTATCAGGATCTCAGCACTATCTTCATTGAAATTAAGATCTTAGTTGCTTAATTATATCTCCTTTAAGAGTACTATTAAAGCTGAAAAAGTATGGATAGTTAGATACCTAATAGACTCCCAACAAACTGACAACCAGTGAATTGGTATTTTGTGAATTTCATTGGTTTTAGTTTTTTGGTACGGTACAATTCAGTACAATAGAAATTGCCTTTCATGTGATCCAAACAAGGGGGTTAGTTATTAATCCTCCTTTTCAAATAATAAAATAAAATAAAAAAGAACTCCACATATAATTTAGAACATTAGCTTTTTAGTTTGTTTGTAGAAGTTTGTTGAAAAGTTTTCTTTAAATTATTAAGGGGACTAGGGATGAGCTCAAAGTATTGGAAACTGGACTATAATATTCAACTATGGTGTGATTAATATCAATGCTGTGTCTGGTTGCCCAGAAAAGAGAATAAAAGATAAAAGGGGAAAAGGAAAACAAGAAAAGAGAGTAAAAAAGGCATAGATATTAGAATTGACCCAATGGTTCAACCATGGGGGTCGCAGTTTGGTCCATGTCAACAATGTTACAAGTTTATAACATATGCTATTATACTGTATGATTTCCATGCACCCTAAGATTTCCCACCACTTTCTCAATCTTCTCTGTTTGGATGAATACTGTTTACTTCTTACCATATACAAAAAAAAAATATCTTCCAACCCATCTTTATCCTAATAAAGAAGCATTTTCTACTTCATGGTTGTAATTTGCAATATGAAAAAGATGATGGACAAAGACAGAAAATAGTGACAGATTTGCAATTTGATCCATTAGAAGGGGTTTCATGCTTTTACAAACTGACAAGGAACAATGACTAGCATTGTTGTGTACAATGACTAACATTAGTAGACCAATAATTTGATAGATCAATGGTCAGGATCATGGACTTGAATGTGCAAAGGAAAAAAAACATTACCCAAAGTTCAAAATACAAAATGTGCACTTAATCCAGACATACTTAGGCTCAGTTTGCAAAGAGTGCAAATACAAATATGTACAATGCAAAACCTTGTATACAGTATTTCTAGACCTTGTATTTGCACTGCACACATTTGTATTTGCAATCTTCTTTAAAAAATCTAATGTTGTGTACAAACTTGTTTCATTTTACGCTGCAGCACAAGCTTGCTGCACACAAGCACGAACTAAAACAGAAAAGAAGAAAAGCTGGCTTAACTTTAATTTATGTTTATTCATAGGATAGTGTCATAGTGGGCTTTTTCCTTTCTTTTTCCCCCTCAATGGTAATTTTTACAGTGGGCATTTGCATTTTGGTGGACCTTTTTTAAATTTCCACACTCCCTATTTTGAAGGATGGGGTACTTACTATGATACTGTCTGTCTTTTGAAGGTTCTTATCCCTCTTTACTATGCAAAAATCATCAGAGAACATCTATTACATCTTTACTTAATACCAAGTCTCCCCAAGCAACAAGATGAACATTTAAACTAGAGCGAGGGTATAGTGAATCATAATTACACAGAGTTTAACATGTAGAATATCATGTTATCTCTACAAGATAAGAGAACCAGGTATGCTATTTAACTGAAGGCCTAAAAATTAGAAAATGTTGTACCTGGAATTCCTGTTTTCTAATCTGAGCCCCCATCCGAACAACTTTCAAAAGTGCTTCGGATCTTCTGGAGAAGAAATCATCATAATTCAACCCATCCGGCGGGGAGAGCTGAGCATGAGTGAGGACAACCAGACCTCTGCTCCAGATTCCTTTACCAAAGCTATCAGTGATAGCCTTAATTACCTGCCTGTCCAGACTATCCACTCTATATGCATCCAATCGATCAACATAGAGCAGAACATCGATAGTCTTGTTCAAAAGGAAACTGTCCAATCAGAACCACCAAAGTTAAGTCAAAATTAAAAGAAGACAAAGAAACTGAGAAGAATGCAATCTATCAAAACTAAAAGAACAACAACAGATTGATGAGAATGTAATCTTTCTACTATAGCATGTCTTACATTGATAGAGGCATCAAATAAAACAAGGGCCTAGAATGCATCTCTATATCAAACTATCAACAACAAAATCGCTTGCCATGTCAGTACCAACCATTTGATGACCTCAAGAGCATGGTCATTGACATGTCTTACATTGATAGAGACATCAAGAAATAAAACAAGGGCCTATAATGCATTTCTATATCAAGCTATAAACAATAAGGGCCTAACATGTCAAGCTATAACATGTCTTACATTGATAGAAACATTGAGAAATAAAGCAAGGGCCTAGAATGCATCTCTATATCAAGCTATAAACAACGAAATTGCTTGTCATGTCAGTACCAACCGTTTTATGATCTCAAGAGCCTGGTCATTGACATATCCCCCTTCTACAAGCCCAGGAGTGTCAATGATGTTCAATGTAAATCCTGCACGTGAGCGCGAGACCATTACGGGTCTTGGGCCTTCCGACTGCAAAAGGATGACAGACATGAGACAATCCATCATAAATAATTAAATAAATATAAACAGGAAAACCCTTAAAATTGTTTGGCCAAAATAATAACAATTCAAGAAAGATCACCAAGGCAAAGGCAAAGTCATGAACACCACAAACCTGAAATGCACTGACTGCAACCACTCTTTCCCCAACAATGGAGTTCACAGTTGAAGACTTTCCAACACCACCTTTCCCCATAACAAGAATTGTCAACGTGCTCACATTCTATTAAAGTTATTGTAATAATTAACAAAAAAGACAAAGAAATCAACTCAATATATATTTGTGTCACAATTGGATGGTCAAATGGATACTTAATCCACAAACCACCAAGGAAAAAAAAAAAAGATAAAGTTTAAGTAAACCAAAAGAAAAGCAAACCTCTTGTTTTAGTTTCCCCAACAACTCAAGCAATTTGCTCAGAGTGGCAGCAGGGAACTGCTGAATTCCAGTCCATTCTCGGATAAGGTGAGACGCCATTGACAGCTCGTCCTAACAATGCAAAATGAACCAAAAATAAATAAATAAAACACCACTCATACAAAATGAATAAAAAGTACTTTGAGAATTTCCAAGGAAGGAAAGCAAATTGATAAACAAACAACAATCCTACAAATCCGCCCCAAACTCCCTGCAAGAAAACTGGGTAGCGTTTGGTAAGGTTCCATGGGAATGTTTCTGGTGTCATGTGAACAAAGAAAAAAGAAAACTATTTTTTTGCTCCAAGAAACAGCACATGTTACAGTGAAGCATTACCAAATATTGCTCCAATTTACAGAAAATAACATAATTCATCCTATTCCAGAAACCGAGAAAACAAACTTAAAACTTGCAGATCTTAAACCCTAGGAACAAGAACTTGTTGGGAGAGAAAATTGTTTACAGTCTCATGAAGCTCAAGTATATTTGAAAATACAATAAGAACAAGAAACATAGATTATTCAAAAGAATGCACAGGCAACTCACTGTGACCGGCTTATCTAACCACTCCTTGTTGCAGGTGCAAGGTATACAGCTGTCAACTGAGGGCGAGGAGGAGGGACGAAATACAAAGGGGAACCCTGGACCTGGAGTTCAATGGCCAAATGTGGTTGGCACAGTCATCTGATTCCTATTTCTTAGAAACAGAATCATGTTTGGCAGCAACCAATTTTTTGGAATCAATTCTCTAAATGACTAATACATAAAACCATGGCAATTATAATTTCAAATGAAGCTACATTGTACTCTATTACATTCAAATGATGGGACTCGGATTATAACAAAACCAAGTAAAACCTTTTATAACATTTGATCCTAACTACAAACTTTTAGTTGAAAATATCACTCAAACAAGATCTTAAATGGATCATGTAGGGTGAATCTGGATGTGATCTGATTATAAACAGGAAAACTACGCAAAATCCATGTTTGATCCGTATTTGGATCATGATCCAATCCATGGACAGCATTGTTTCTCTATTACCAAACTCATAGATTCTATAGCCTTGGTATTCCATAGTTACTAAGACTTGAGAACATGTTAGAACAGCCTAACACATAATTCAGTTGAGTTCAATCTCTCATCCACAGTCAGATTTATCATTTATTAGTCCAAAAGTAGACAAGTTGCAAGGAAAATAATTACTTTATTCCGGTCTGCCAATGCAGTTTCTGCAAAATTGATGCAACTTGAACCCTATTTGGTCATACAAATCAGGAATTGCCTATCCCAGCAATGGCCTACTATTCTCTTGGTCAAACCAGATGGAAGGTAGAAACGACGAGACGCTCAGGTATTTTTCTGAGTCAAGAATTTGCCATCCCTAGTCACACCATAAACTAGCTCTGGTATTTTTCGGGTTTCACTTAAAAAATATGTATGCATTTTTGACAGCATAAATCCCTATTATTTTTTAGAGGGTTGGTACATACCATCCCGGTGTACATACCATGCTGCATAAAACAATGAAAAACACGGACGGCATTTGTATTTGCATTTGCATAAGAAAACATCAATTAAATAAGCAATGAAAAACACGACTGCAATTTCTCCCTCAAAACACAGCCATTCGTTATTGATTATGAGTATCCTAAGTGAGAGCATAAAATAGAATGAATATTGGCTAAAAAAATAGTTCCAACATATTTCGGTCCGTATAACGAATATTGTCTAAAAAATAAAATAGAAGGAAGAGAGTGCGTACCTGTGAATCGTTGATTGTGCTTCTGTTTCTGTAAAGGGCAGAACGAAGCAAGCTCTGAGACGTTGAAGGAAGAACAGTTGAAAAAGAAAAAAAAATAATAATAATAAAGGAAAAATGAAGATTGAAGAATAAAAAGTGAAGAATATTGGAAGGAGTGATTTTTACCTGGAAATCGGTTGTGTGTGGAAGGGGAAACTCGGAGAGTGCCGTTGGAGGAGAAAGAAGGCCAATCTGAGACCGGTTAGGGCTTTTTTTGCATCGACAGTCCCCAACTCACCGTCACTGGCTTATCTAACGACTCCTTTTTGCAGGTGGAAGGTATACAACCGTCAACCGAGGGCAAGGGGAAGAGACGAAATCCAGAAGGGGAACCCTGGACCTGGAGTTCAATGGGAGCAAAGGCTTTCACAAGCGCTCGCTCTCGAGTTCGCGGACTGCCTTATCGGCTAGTTCTTGTAAGCAGAACGAACTGCCTTATCGGCTTTGATTTTTCATTTTAAGAGTGGGGAAAAAGGGCACCGGCAGCCACAGGCCCATAGTCACCATCTCTTCTCTGTCCATTAATTCTAAAAAATGTATCGGAAATTCGGAATAATCTTTCGACAACCACGTCAAGTGGAAAAATTAAAAATTAGCATACATATAACACGTGTTATGCACGTGTTCAAATAAGGATAATAGTGGAGGTGTAAATCGACTTCAGATCTGCGCCCCACAACGTATCCTCGCCGTGTATTGGGAAGATCTCCCGATGATGACATCATCTATTCTGATATATCATCGGGAGAAGTTCTCAATACATGGCGAGGATGTGCTGTGAGACGTTGTGGGGCACAGACGTTGTGGGGCACAGAAGTTCTCAATACGAAAGACGGGCCATGGGCCAGAATTGAGATTTGTTTCTCACACAAGGTGTCTTACATCAACCTCACAGACATATCACATCCTCATCAAGTATTGGGAATATCTCCCATGTATAATAATGTATAAATAGGGGAAATGTTCTTAATGCATGGTGGGATGTGCATGTGAGGCACCCTCTATGAGGAGTAGATCTAGTCTCATGTTGAGGGTTTTAGGTTCATGGGCTAGTAAGGACTTTGCATACCGTGCCGCCTATGAATCGTCCAAGAAACTAGCCATTAGGGGACCCTCCAAGAATTAGTTTCAGTTTTTGGGGGGGGGTTTGCAGAAATACCCCCCAACAACTATATAATAGCTAGTTTGGGGGGCATTTTGGGTAATGTCATAAATGACTTTACAATGACCAAAATGCCCCTCCCAATTAGACATTTTGGCCTAAATGTCCGAGTCCAACCCCCATCAAGCCTAGGTCTTGAGCCCGAGCCCAACTCTCGTATAAAGCCCCAAGCCCAAACCTGGCCAGAAATTTGAAAACATTTTTTCTTTTTTATTCAATAAAAAGTATTTTATTTATATTAAAAACCTTCAAAACTCAAAAATAATAAACATTTCACCATTACTTAAAAAAAGAGAAGAATAACAAAGAAAAATATTGTATAGATTTTTTATTAAATAAAAATATATTTTTTATTATTTAATATATAGTATCATGTCAGGCATGGACTCGGGCCGGGCTTTTTCGAGAAAGCCCGAGCCCGGCCCAAAAAAAGTTGGGCCTGGTGCTCTTAGGCTCGAGCCTGAGCCCGTGGGCTTAAAATTATGACTAAGCTCGACTTATAACAAGTCGGGCCGTCAGGCTACTCAACGCATGAACATGTCTACTCCCAACGATTAAATAGTCCTATTCTCCACCATTCTCATCACACCAATTCAATAATTCTCTTCTCATACACTTTCAATCAGTATTTTTAACCCATCCTTGATCCACCGTTCAAATCGTCACCTAGCCAAAATTTCGGGTCCGATTTAGTTAAGACCCATCATATGGTAAAAAACCGTTGACTTGGTCAAGAACTGTTCGACCCAGTCGGTTCAACCGTTGACCCGTTCGACCTGGTCACCAAGTCGCAGGTTGCACACTCAATGTATGCAAACTTTCGGAGGTCATAACTTTGCACTCCGATGTCTAATTGGGGTGTTTTTTTTTGGTAACTTTTCGAGATATATGTGTCCTAAGGTGTCATAGGTGCCTAAGCGCCTTGCCCCACTAGTTTTGCAAAAAAAAACTTGATTGCCCTCAAATTGTAATTTTTAATATAAATTAAATATAAAAATACATATAACATATCTAAATATATTTATACATTATTTATTGAAAATATATATATTTATACAATGACGTGGAATGGTTTGAAACGTTCGACCCAACCGATCGAACCAGTGACCCATGACCCGGAGGCAAAAATGGTTTGGCCTCTAGGTCAGTTTTTAAAACACTACTTTCAATACTTTCTACTATCCAATTCTTAAGTCTCAAATTTATTCAGGTTTAACAATAAGAAGGCTTGTTCAAGTTGAGATTCTAAACTAGCAATCCATGTAAGTGCAATTAAATTAATTTTTATTTTTTTAGAATTAAAAAAAATGATCGACTCCTTCCGAAACCAATTCCCCAACATGTTCAATGTTAACGATGTTTAGTCGTAGTATGATAGTGTTAGCATCAATATAAATGTTACTGACATTGTCGGAGTTCCCACCCCTAGTACTGCTACTGGAGGAAAGAAAAAGAAGGGCACTAAGTTCACTAGCCCAATTTATAAATTATTTAAAATAAGGAAGGTTGAGGGGAAGGGAAAAATAGTTGTTTGCCAAAAATGTAAGAGTGACTTTAGCTATTGTAGCAAGGGTGGTATTGGCCACTTGAGTAGACATTTGCTCACCCATGAGAAACAACAAGAAGAAGAATGGAAAAAAAAAATCACAAGCACAATTTGGGCGTGGGGGGTGTGGTACTTTTAAATATTTTCAAGAAAAAATGAGGCAAGAGTTAATAAATATATTGTATATACTAAATAACCATTTTTTTTAGTTGAGGATACTAAACTTGAAAAATTTTTACATAATTCTATAAATTCACAATTTAAAAAAGTTTATAGAAATACTATTAGAGTAGATGCTTTGAAATTGTTTTATTCTTATAAATAAAATTTAATTTCTATTTTATCAAATCTTAATTATAGAGTTGCAATTACTTCTGATATTTGGACTTCTAAATTTAATATAAGTTATATTTGTGTTACGGTGTTACCGATCATTTTGTTGATAAAAACTAGCTTTTACAAAAAAGCATTTTAAGTTTTGATGGGCTTAAATAGCCACATATTGGCCCAACTATTGCTGTAAGTTGGGGTGGCAATGAGCCGAGCTTTTCATGAGCTGCTCGAGCTCGGCTCGACTCGATTTCAACCAAGCTCGAGCCTACTAGAGCTCGGCTCGTGAGGCTCGCGAGTCGGCTAGAATATAAATATATATATATATATATAATATTATAAAGTTATAGAAAACAATATATATATATAATAAAAATATCATAATTCTTAATTTTTTAAATATAAAATAAAAAAATTATATATAATTTTTATTTTTATAAAATAATTTTTCTCAAAGTCGAGCTCGAGCTTATGAATTTTTTACTCGAACCGAGCTTGAGTCTGGTACTATTCGACTCGGCTCGGCTCAGCTCGAATCCATCCCTAGCTGCAAGTATTTTAAATACTTTACATGTTTATGGAATTGAAAATAATTTTTTTTTCTATTAGTTTTAATAATGTTAGTAATAATTATTTGGCAATAAGTATTTTAAAATCTCAATTAAACCGTGTTTAAATGATAAATTATTTCATATTGGATGTGCATGACACATCTTAAATTTATGTATTCACGATGCTTTAAATATTATTTTTCAACATATTTCTAAAATTAGAAATTGTATTATATATATTAAAAGTTTTGGAGCAAGAAAACAATAATTTAAATATGTATGTCAAAATTATGGTTTAAAATATAAATATTTTATGATAGATGTTCAACATAGAATTCTACCTATGTTATGCTACAAAGTTGTATTTCCTACAAAAAATTTTTACTGATTTTTATAATGCAAAAGTGCCACATGATATTATACTTAAGGAAGACTAGGAAATGGTAATTTGTATAAGAGATTTTTTACACAATTTTTATGATGTAACTATTGAATTTTTTGTGTTTGTTACCCAACTAGTTGTCTTTTAGTTAATCAATTATTTATGATTAGTGAATGTTTTGCAAAATATAGAAGATATTTACAATTTAAAAGTATTGTTGAAGTAATGGAAAATAAATTTAAAAATTATTGAAAGAACGTTTTTCCTCTTTAGGCTGCGTTTGGTTACAGTGCAAATTTATTTGCACTAGTACAAATGCATGGTAGTGCAAATGGAAAAAACAAACTGCAAATCCTTGTTTAATTTGGTCTTGGGTTTCACTTTATTCTGCACCATGTCTTAATTTACTTCATTTGTAATGCAATCAAACAAAATAAGCTGAAACAAAAATAGGTCAGAATTTACACTCAAATCATTTGCATTGTCATGGTTTTGCTTCAGTGCAAATTATTTGCATTGTAACCAAGCACAATCTTATTAGCTGCAATATTAGATCCTATGATTAGAAAAGATGGTTTAGATATTTTACTTGAATTATATTGTGAAAATATGAATATTAAAATTGAAAATCAAAAAGAAAATTAATAATTTATTATTTGAAATGTATAACTTGTATGAATCTTAAGTGATAAGGCATGAAAAATTTGCAGCTTGTATAGGTGCAACTTCCATTTTCGGAACAACAAGTTCCAATAGTGGAAAAAATGAAGTTTGGTCTCTAATAAGTAGGAGGCAGAAATTTGTTGCCATTTCATCAACAAGTTCATTTACTAAATTTAATTTTTATTTACAATCAAACTTTTTCTAGTTTAAGTGATTCATTCGACTCGGAGTGAATGAATCATTTTGATATTTTAGCCTGGTGGAGTGGACATGGAAAAAAATTATCCGCTCATTGTCGCCATGCTACGTGATCTACTAACTCCTCCGATGTCTACAATTCTATCGAAGTCTTGTTGTAGTGCAAATATTGGGGTGCTAGATGACAAGAGAAGCTGCATGAATGATGAAAGTCTAGAGATGTGCACCTGCTTCAAAGATTGGTTGGATGATGAGGATAATTTACAAGACAAATGAGGGCATGCCATTACACCTGATGGACTTGAAGTAGATGATCAAAATCAAGGAGATGGAGATGTAGGTGGAACTTGAAGAAAAATGATGAAGTCAATATTTTTTTGTATACTTAATAATTTTGTAGCATTTTTTAAATTTATTGTAAATTTTGTTATTCGATTTTATTTAAATTATTTGTTATTTTTTCAATAATGTAATTTGTTATTTTCAATTTTAATTATATTATACTTTTTATATTTTATTACATTTTGTTAAGTATTTTTGCCATTGTATTGTTCAAATTTAAATGAAATAAAATTCCTATTTTTTTTTCCAATCTCTTGTCCATTTTGTATTTTGTTAAGTATTTTTTTATTTCTTTATTAGAATTTTTATTTTTTCTAATTTGTTCCCAAAGGAAAGTTAATTATTTTAGTTCTACTTAGTAAAAAAAATCAAGGGTAAATTACAAAGGCCCCCCATTGTACTATGGGGTCTATGACAAAGACCCCCCTGTACTTTGTTTTGCGACAAAGACCCCCTTGTACTATGACCGTGAGACAAAGACCCCCTTCTGTTAGCCTTCCATCCAAAAAAGCCGTTGCAATATTTTTTAATCCCCATATTACCCTCGGACGAGAAAAACATTGTTCATCTTCCCCGACCCCACGATACACTAATGGCAGCGGCGGTAATCTCATCTACCTCATATTCCTTCACATTTCTCTGTGGCGGTAATCTCATCTACCTCATATTCCTTCACATTTCTCTCTTCTTCCCCAACTCCCGCAAAAACTTTAATTTATGGTAACTTCAGCCCCATCTGTGCAGGATTACCAGAGAGGTAACACCCATCTTCTAGACTTTCTTTTTGCATTTTTGGCGCTGCAACTCATTTGACTTCATCAAGAGTCTTAGTCTCGTCTGTCGTCGTCTTCCATCTCGACCAAGCACATCGAGTTGGTATCTCTACTCACTCACCACAATGGAGTCCACACCATTCAAGGTGAGTTCACTAAAGAAACTCAAAGCAGTTATCGAATTCAACGATGACACTGTGATGGTTATTTTGTTCAATCAGGAGGGATCGATGTGCTTAGTCGTAATATTGTCCATATTCTAGTCGACAACTCCGATTTCATGGCATTCCGAGCTTGCGAGGAAGCTCTGGGTGTTCTGCACCAACTCCCATTATCCGATGAATCATCGATTCAATTGTTATCGAAGTCGGAATGCATGAAATCCATGGTGATTATGCTTCAACGAAGTAACAACAACCTCTTTGTAAACACCCCTACCTCTTTCCACTCGACCCTCTTGTTACTCTTCTTCGTCTTCTTCGTCCTCGTTTGAGATTACCGCAAATGATGAAAATCTAAACCCCAGTTCGTCTGAAGAGGACGAATTCATATTTAAGCTCAAGAGATCTCAGGTATTCGAGTAGAGGAAGTAGTGATCTCTCTAAGGAAGGTAACAAGAACCCAAGAAGAAATACCCTCTGTACACCTTGATTGCTGTTAGCCCTGCGACCTCTCCTAGTATCATGATATTCTACTATTCAGATAAACACGGTGGCAGCATTGGTGAATCTATCCTTGGAGAAGATCAACAAGGTGAAGATCATAAGGTCATGCAGGGGCTGTACCACCATTGATCAATGTACTGAAAGGTGGATTTGCTGAGGCACATAAACACGCAGCCGGTGCTAGGGGTGATCATTTGTGAGAGCCTTCATTGATAACTGGAGGAGATCTATCATTGGCAGCTATTAAAGATCCTTTATTAACAGCTGCTATTCTGGAATAAGAGCCTCCATTGATAACTACGAATCTTGTGGAATTACCTTTTGGAAAGCTTTCCTTAATACTTTATTACAACTTGACAGATATCTAGTAATAGAAATAGTCTAATGCATGCAAATGAAGTCCCTAACCCAATCTCTTGCATTTCTAGGGTGAATAAAATATTGGCACAAATCTAAGGTTCATTGGTTCCCATTGTTCCCAGGTTAGATTCTCAAATAGTGACTAAGTTGTTGGTGCCCCCACCGTCATGGAGCTTCCTAGCTAGGCAAGTTATATTCACATTTGAGTTGATAATGCTTTCTTTTCTAGTGGTTATGTAGGGGTTGGCATTGTGATTTTTTATGACAAGAAAAAGTTTGTGGCTGCTTCATTTTTTTTTTATTTCTTTTTGTGAATCCGAGATCTCTTTTTGTTGAAGCCCAATCCACCTCTTTGGCCTTCAGTTGCCTCCCCTAAGCAGTTGTGTTCTCTCTTGTTAAGCGTGATGAAAACAATATCGCTCATTTTATATCCCTTGTTAAGCGTGTGCAAAAGGATCTTGGGTTTATTCGGTCCATTCGTGGCTTTGTGATGCTATATCCCTTGATGTTTTGTATTTTTGTTAATGCATTAATTCGTTTTGTTAAGAAGAAAGCCATTTTTCACTATATGGACAATGTTGTTTTTCTTTTTTGATAAAACAATGAGGTGCTGCACAAAACGCCAGGGGGGGGGTAGCATGACCCTATGAATCACAAAAGCAAATTAAACCAAGACCCCTGGGGGGATTATATTGATCAAAAGAAATACATCCATGATTAGTCGAAAGAGCTTCCCTAGCAATTCAATCTGCCACTTGATTTGTCTCTCTGTAAACATACATGTTTATATTCCACCCCTTGACTGAGCTGACCTCTGAACAATAAGCATTCTCTAACAATGTTACTAATGGTCTAAGGCAGGCACACTTGACCTTTAAGGCAGGAGATGATTAAGCATGAATCCCCTTTTGTAGTAATTGCTTGATCCACAAAGTCTGCATCCAAATTATGGGCCTCCCACACTACCCACGCTTCAGCAGCATTGATAGTCGAGATACCAAGATTGTAGCCTTTAAAGTCGACGATACTGCCTAGGTAATTTCTTGTCATTGCTGCAATGGAACACTCTCTAGAGGAAGCATCAAAGTTGATTTTAATCGTGTCTGCTCTTGGGGGAAGCCAATAAACATGCAACCATCTCTTCTCCACTTTGCTAGTGCTGGAAACCTGCAAACAATTAATAAACGCACTCTAATTTTTGGAGGCATTTTCAACAATAATTTGAGGAACAACAACATTGGAAAATGTCTTTTGGTTTTTATTTTTCCACAGCTGCCATAAGATTTAACCACTCTTTTCAAACACATATGTCTGGGTTTGATGTAACCGATCGGTCTCGTACACCCTAGTCCACCACGACTTCATTCTGGGTCTGAACCGGTAGGGCCCACTAAACTGGGACCCACAATATTCCACACCTGCTTTGCTTCTTCACAGTCCCTAATAATATGTAAGATATATTCTTCCTCTCCACAGAAGTTATACCCTCTGTCAATGTTAATCCAGCCCTCAAAAGGCTCTTTGTGAGGAGTCTTACCTTTTAGAACCAGATAAAGAAAAATCTTGAGTTTGGGTTGGCATTTCAGATTTCAAATAAGAGAATTCCATTTAACACACTGATCATTAGGAACAGATAGGCTACATTTGAGCTTGTAAGCTGTTTTCATTGAAAATTCACCATTAACATTTGATCTCCAAATTAGTTTGTTTTTCACGTCCACCCTACCGAATGTAACAACCCATCGTTTAAATCCTTCAATAGCCGGATATTATAGAATTTTAACTTAATTAACATGCCATTATCCACTCCCCCATCAACAGCTTTGACTTAATTAATTAAAAAACTAAATTAATTAGTTGATTAGTAACTTAATAATATAATTAATTAACATAGTTGATAATTGGGTAAATTTCTTAAATTATCCTTGTGGTTTAATTAATTGACTAAGTATATTTTTACTGTTTGAAAATTGACTGATGCTACCCTTTTTGTTTCTGACAATTGATTAACTCTACCCTTATAATTAACACCCATTAGTATTCCATCAAAACCCACATACATGTAAGACCACGTGACATTTAAACTTTTTTTAAAACCCAATATTACCCCTTCTCAGACCCCGGGTGGCTTCTCTCTTATCTTTCTCTATTTTTCTATTTCTTATGAGGATCAAATCTGAATTTCCTCTCGAAAATCAAAAAAACATCAATACGAGGAATCTCTCAAAATAGAGAAGGGCTGGCAGGGCTTCCGCAAGAGCCTCCCCCCTCTTCCYGGTCAAGATAGATGGGAAGGAGATTGATTGTTTCAGGGTGGTGCCACCCTCCCTCCTGCGATTCCCAGCCCATGGTGGTGGTGGTTATGGCGGTGGCGGCAACTACAGTGATTGCTGTAACAGACGAGGGGAAGAGAGAAAGAGCGCTACCTCGTCTCTGAAATTGAAATTGAAGGAATGCCTGCCATTTCCAAGGCAATCATGATAGAAACGAAACCCTATAAACTGAAACATTCTTCCTTGGTTGTAGACATCCATTTTCTCGTCTTATTCTATTTACTACAACAATGCTCACGACAAAAGAACAATTGCTAGTTTTATTTGCCTTTCTCCTGTAGACATCAAGGCATTTTTGTTCTAGTTGCAGAAGCATCTTAACCCATTATTTGTCTCTGAGAGAGGGGACAAGGGGTAATATTAGGTTTTAAAAGTAGTTTAAACATCACGTAGTCTCACGTGTATGTAGGTTTTAACGGAATACTAATGGATATTAACAGTAAGGGTAGTAAGGGTAGAGTTAGTCAATTGTCAAAAACAGTAGGATTGGCATCGTTCAATTTTCAAACAGTAAGGACACACTTAATCAATTAATTAAACCATAAGGGTAGTTTAAGAAATTTACCCTTGATAATTTAATTAATTAAATTAATAGCAAAGGGACTAAATTAATTTAAGGTAATTATCCAAAACCCACCATCACTTTTTATGAATTCTCTTAAACTCACCGTAACTCTTCAAAACTTCCAAAACTCACCGTATCAGTGAGATAACTTGCCCAACTGGCATTGTTAATTTACTACTTTACCTTTCATTATCTCCTGCTTTGCTTTCTTCCTCTTGGATGGAAGTTCATCGCACAGAGTACTTCAAGAAGTACCGCTCCAAATGAATAGACCTCTGATTTATCAGTCAGTTGCTGCCGTTTAAAATACTCTGGGTCCAGATACCCAAAGCTACCTTTTACCAGTGCTAACATGGGTCTAATCCAGACAGGGGCCAGACCTTGAAAGGCCCAAGTCAGCGACCTTGGCGACATTGTTTTCATCAAGCAAAATGTTGGTTGATTTAGCATCGCGATGGATGATTCCATGAGTTGAACCTGTGTGAAGGTAATGGAGGCCTCTGGCTGAACCAATGCATATCTCAAGCCTCTGCTTCCAAGACAAAGGTTGAAACTCTGAACCATATAAATGGTTCCTTAATGGCCCCTTCTCCATATACTCATATACCAGTATCATCTCCGACTGTTCTTCGCAAAACCCAATCAGGGAAACGAGATGCCGGTGGCGAATCTTCGACAGAACTGTTATCTCTGTTTGGAATTTTGGAAGCCCCTGCCTAGACCCCGGTACACCTTGCTTCACAGCAACTCTTGTGTTGTCTCTGAGCACTCCCTTGTACACCATATCAAATCCACCCGCACCGACAAGATGGGAGTTTTTCAGAGGCAAGAAACATCAGAGGACGATTTTACAACTTAATCCATCGTTCTTTAATCCAAAAACATAAAACTGACAATCAAATGCCCGGGGGAATTTCAGTCGATTTTTTATCTCAGATTGCTTGTTCCTCAAATAGCGATGGTTTTCGTGGATTGCGACTAGAAGATTAGTGGAAGCTCAAACAACAAAAGCTGGTATGAGTTTCGTAGGTTGGTCAAGGACGAAAGTCGAACGACGACTGCTACAATAGATTCTGCTCCAGGGAAGTTGATGGATGATTGGAGAAGCCTGAAGCGGTAAAGGAGTGAAGAGAGAGAGTGAGGGAAGAAAATGGTTGGATTTATGTTGGAGATGAGTGAGAATAGGAGAGAAGTTTTACTATTGCAACTTGTTCGAGTTCGAAGTTGAAGACGAAGAATAATGCTTTTGATTGACATTTCAGCTCGATGGAGGTGAGGAAGAGAGAGGGAGAGAGAGAAACTGAGAGAAAAAATGAGGAATGATTATGGGGAGAGAAGGGAAAGGGGAAGATCGCTGTTCAGGACGATGAACAGTAGATTACCCATAAAATTATTTTGGTCATGAAATTTACATTTGTTCCGATGTGGACAATTTCTGCCGATGAATATTAACTGATGGTGAGTTTTGGAAAATAAAAGTTTAGGTGAGTTTTAGACGTTTTGAAAAGTTATAATGAGTTTAAGAGAATTCATAAAAAGTGATGGTGAGTTTTAGACAATTCCCCATTAATTTACTTTATAGAATTAACTTGACTTAGATGTTTTATTAACAATAAACTTTGTCAAACTATATAATCAGATGTATTATTAAATTAATTACAAAAGTTATATATTTAATAATAGTAACAATTAATAATTATTAATATATAGTACTAACACCTGAAGTATTACACAACAAAATATTATTAAAATAAGTTAAAAAAATTAAAATAAGCGTTAATTAAAATTTGAATGGATCCGACCCAAAGCTTGATCTGTGAACAAATAGTGTATTTGAAATTAGTTTTTATTTTCTTGATAAGAGGGTACATATGGAGCATTGCCCCATCCCTAGCCCATAACCTCAACCTTGGTGACAAGCAGGATTTAATCTAAAGTACTATGACTAGCCAAATACCTTATCAAGCCAGTTGGTACCACCACTTAGTATTAAACATATAGATCACATTATCTACTTGAGGCATGTAAGTCATTCTAAACCTATTAATACAAGTTTATCTAATAATTTAATGCCAAATCCTCAGCGTGTTCAATGGTTTAAAGGAATAGATCACTAAGTTATTAGTTGAGTTCATTAATTTATTTATTTTTTGGGGAAAAGCTGAGTTTTTTTTTTTTTTTTAGTTTTAGGGACCAATACCTCTTTATATGTGATTATCTTTATCATAATTGACAAGGAAGACATGGTTATGGTATTTGATATTTTTAGGTCTTATCAATTAAGAATCCGTCTTGAAGTAAGTTGGTATTTTTGGGTTGAACATGAAAAGCTATAGGGCCCATTCATTCTTCGGATTTTGAGAGGGGAAAGTTGGTCAATAGAATTTTGGTTCCCATTGACTAAGATACCCATGTTCCTTTTTTAGATTTATGTGGGGCCTATGGAATATTCATTTTTCATAGGTATTAGTTACATGATACCTATCTTCCATGTGGGTAAGTGTGAAAGTTACCAACATTTGGACTGGACAAAATTTTCCCTTTTAATAATGACTTTTATAGATAAAACGATCATTATCTTATTTACTTGATAAATAAAAGAGAACAAGGCCTTAGAATGTTATATTTCTGCTTTGACAATTTCATTTAATAAAACATTTGTATCACACGCACATGACCCAAAAAAATAGAATGCAATTGGGTTAAAAATGGCTCAACCCAATTTTGAATTCACATAACGAATGTTCTTTTAATAATGGTTTTTATGGCTAATTGTAGACACCCCATTTTTGCGCCCTTTAATTTTTCTGCAACACTTTTAGCTTCAATCAAGCTTTAACTAACTTTTCAATTGATATGGGGGCATTTTTAGAATTTTACAAAATTTTAGACATTTATAGATATGTAAAGCCCAAAATTCCAAATTCGATGACAGCAAGATCATCCAATTCTAACATTGTTTACCCATTCATCTTAAGACCCCAAGCTGGAGCCAATTTTGATTGTCCAATCGGGATCATTGCAATCCTAAACCTTATCTCAGATCAAGTAAAAAACCTAACACCATAGGTACATAGAGTCCAAATTTTCAAATCCGATGACACCAAGATCACCCAAATCCGATACCAGTTACCCCTTCATTTCAAGACTTGAAGTTGGAACTGATTTTGATCATCGGTCGGTCGGGACAATTTTGATCCTAAACCATGTCTCACATGAAATAAAAAATTCTATAGATGCAAAGATCTCAAAATTTCATGTCCAACAATACCAAGATCGTCCATTTCTGACGTTGTTAACCCTTCCATCTTGAGACTTGAAACTAGACTCGATGCAAACCCTTCATTTGGAATCTTTTTCATTGAAACTCGAAACCTAGGGACACATACAATCATATCTCTCTCCTAGCCTCTATAACTATCTTTAAATTTAAAATTAACCAACTAAGAAGTTTCCAATCAATCCAAACAATCACTTAAACTTGGAATATTCAATTTAAACAAATTTGTAAAACATTCCACTTATTATCTTGATTGATTGAGATAACCTCTCACATGGTTGTCATGCCAGCCATTACCCACATTTAATCTCCCCCCAAAAAATTTTAAACCTCAACAATTGATCTCCCAAAATTAAATGTCAACCATCTATTCCCTTCTAGAATTCTCTCCAAAACTTTACAAATACCCATGCTTTCTCATGCAAATGAACACTTTAACCTAGGGAGAGAATTCTACACGTATTAGCCTAGATAATACCCCCACCACGTCCAAGACAGCCTTTCCTCTCCCTCACTCACACCTAAAGCCTACGAGAAAGTCTCCTCATTTTTCCCATGTCTTTCGAACCTTAGGACTTCTCCAAACCACCCATCGTACTGTTACAACACACGGTAGAATCTCCTACCCTCATAAACTTCCATCACCTCCCCACTCCTCCATACACAATGACATTCATCCTCACACGTCGCTAGGGTCCCCCATATATGTTTGAAGCCAATGGACACCCTAGGTCGTGCCTACTATATTCAAGAGTAAAACCAGTCGTACAATAGTGTTCTTGAAGACAAGAACAATGCAGCAGAAAATCAGTCGTACAATAGCACTCCCACATCATTTGGGGCAACATAACCAACTCCCTTGACTCCAAGTTGTCTAATAGGGTTAGCCACCGGTTGCCCAAAATTTTGCTAATTCCTCTAAATAGCATGATCTTTTTTCTCTTTTGATTGCTTATTTAGATTTTGTGGGTTTTCATTAACTTGATTGGGTAACGTCTAAAATCATTTTGCATGCTTCTCCTCATCAACAATAAAGTTTATTCTCTTAGTGACAGTGTTTTCAAATCTTCATTGATACAAATGGTTGGACCATTCAGCCTAGAAATTATCCAAATAACCGGTTCTGTTTCACCCTCAACCCAGTCTTTGGCAAAAAATAGTTGACTTGATTAATGGCCCATTAACCCAAGTGATCGAAGTATTGACTTATTCGACTCAAACAATACTTTTGGTCATTTTTTATTTTAAATTTTTATTTTTAAGTTGGAACGAGTTGTTCGTTCAAACCAGACCATCGAATTGCTGTCCCATAAACCAATGGCCAATGCTGTTTCAGTTCTGGATCGGTTTTTAAAACCTTGCTTAATGGTCTATTTTTTCTTCAGATTTGTTCAACGGTTCAGCAGTTGAATACTTGTCTTCATTGCCCAACGGAAGAGGCCCTTTAACTAGATGATCCTATCATTTGGTATTCAATTGAAGATGGGGCCCACACCACCTTATAAATACTCAAATTTAATGGCTCATGCTAACGTGTAGATTTTTTACTTTTCCAATCTTTTAAGTCACATACATGATTTAGCAAGTTTCATGGATACACTTGGCAATTTAAAACTATGGGCCCGTTTGGTGTATCTTTTTGGGAATATCTTCTGGTAGCTTTGACAGCCAAAGGATGTATTGAACTTTTTGTAAGAAGATTTGAGTACCCCGAAGCTCATTTGGTAGACGTGCGTCTTTCCGCGCGAGAATAAAATGCGAAAAGCTTCATTTGGAGCTTCTCGAAATCAGCCCAGAATGGGCTTTTCACATCTTTTTGGCGTTCCGTCTTTTGGCAGCTAGATCTTCCTACATGCCAAATAGAAATAGATCGAAAATCGGTCTTCCCGGCTTATAAACAACCGAAAGACCGCACGGAAAGACATGCCAAACAGGCCCTACATCAACATGACCCATGTGCCCTCTTTAGTTTTAATCTAATCTCTTTTGTAACCCTTTAGGCTCAATTTGGAAGGAGTACGAATACAAATATGTATAGTGTAAATACATACAAAATAGTATAAAACACAAGGTTTTGTACTCTATATATTTGTATTTGTACCCCTTCCAAACTGAGTCTTAGGCTCAGTTTGGAAGGAGTGCAAATACAAATATGTACAGTACAAAATAATACAAAATGTAAGGTTTTACACTCTACATATTTGTATTTGTACTCCTTCCAAACTGAGCCTTTAATGTTTTCATTCTTAGTTTCAATATTGTTTCTCCTTTAATCAGTTTCTTTTAGCAAAGTCAACCCCCTCATAGTCTCACTCATCATTTTTTTCTTAAGCGACTTTAGAAACAACATCATGCATAAGTCCATCAGCCATTCCATGATCTAGAACTTTCATTTCTTTAAACATCTAGTTTAAGTCACTTGTCAATTATTAATATTAAATTCACAGTTTAGTTAAGTCATTTCTTTTATTCTGTTCAATTGCATGTATGACTTAGGTGGCGTTTGATAAATCTGTAAATTCATATATGAA